GCTCTATATTGTCTCCCTGCTTATTTAATTTATATGCAGAATACATCATGCAAAAGGCAGGACTGGATGAATCCCAAGCCAGAATTAAGATTGCCAGAAGAAATATCAACAACCTCAGATATGCAGATGATACCACTCTGATGGTAGGAAGTGAGGAGGAACTAAAGAAATTCTTAATGAGGGTGAAAGAGAGGAGTGCCAAAAATGGTCTAAAGCTCAACATCATAAAAACTAAGATCATGGCCACTGGTCCCATCACCTCCTGGCAAATAGAAGAGAAAGATATGGATGCAGTGACAGATTTTACTTTCCTGGGCTCCATGATCACTGCAAATGGTGACAGCAGCCACGAAATTAAAAGACACCTGCTTCTTGGGAGGAAAGCAATGACAAACCTTGACAGCATCTTAAAAAGCAGAGACATCACCTTGACGAAAATGGTCCGCTTAGTCAAAGCTATGGTTTTTCCAGTAGCGATGTACGGAAGTGAGAGCTGGACCATAAAGAAGGCTGACCGCCGAAGAATTGATGCTTTTGAATTGTGGTTCTGGGGGAGACTCCTGAGAGTCCCCTGGACTGCAAGATGATCTATGCATCCTGAAGGAAATCAAGCCTGAGTGCTCACTGGAAGGACAGATCCTGAAGCTGAGGCTCCAATACTTTGGCCATCTCATGAGAAGAGAAGACTCCCTGGAAAAGCCCCTGATGTTGGGAAAGAGTGAAGGCAAGAGGGAAGGGGGGAGACTGAATATGAGATGGTTGGACAGTGTCATCGAAGCTACCAATATGAATTGGAGTCAGTGGCAGTGGAAGGCAGGAGGGCCTGGTGTGCTCTGGTCCATGGGGTCATGAAGAGTCGGAAATGACTTAACTAAACAACAACTCTGCTTCAGTAATTCAATTTATGTCCTGAGCAAATTATGTAATTCCTGGTAAACGTGCAACATGAGACAGGTTTCTCCTTTCTATACTTCCGTAACTTATTCAGCAGAAACTAGATGGCCTTGAATAAATCTTTATTCATGAAAACAGAAAAGCTCAAAATTATGAACACTTCCTTGGAATCAATTCTCTCTGAACTCACTAATACTCACTGCAGAGCATACACATGCAGGATTAGTCTAATGCCTGATTAGTTGTGAATGTGATACCTACCACAGTGTGATACCTACCACACAAGAAACTTTTCGAATGCCATTTACAGAAACATACTGAGCTTTCATGTTCTCCAGCACCCTCCACTGACCTTCTATGGTGACTGTATGTGTCGGAATACCATCACACTGCATATCCAACCTGGTTTGGACCAAAAGTAAAATAAAGTAAAACAATTCATTTTCAACTCTAAAGTGATAGAATTTCATCTCATTCCTGTAACATATGTATTTAAGGTACTAGGTTATCCTTTTATATATATAGCCTACATTTAATAATTTTCCAGAAGGAGAAAGAGGTGAACATGCCCTAAAACAAGCTAGACATGAAATTCTATTTCAAAATACTGAAATACTGGACAACACCAGCAATCATTACATTACGTCAGTGGTCCCCAACCTTGGGCCTCCGGATGTTCTTGGACTACAACTCCCAGAAGCCTTCGCCGCCACTTCTGCTGGCCAGGATTTCTGGGAGTTGAAGTCCAAGAACATCTGGAGGCCCAAGGTTGAAGACCACTGCATTAGACTACACAGGGAAGCCACTGAAATCCACAAAGACCAGCAGAACTTCAACAAAAAAGAGGAAAGTTTGAAACTCAACAAAACATGGCTCCCAGCATTGAAAAATACAGCATGCAAAAGGTCAACAAACTCTACCCAGCCACAAGGACTGGTGAGCACTACACACAAAAAAACAGCTAAGGACACCCAGCAATCACAGTGACAGATAATCTCTCCTCCTTATCATAATAATACACCTACAACAAAAACACACTGATCACCATAATCACTCATCTCCTGAAAAGGACAAAAGCTGATCTCACAGCCATAAATACTCAACTCCCAAACAAACTGCACCAGAGCACAGAGTGCTGTCCTCTGAAGATATCGGCCACAGAGACTGGTGAAATGTTAGGAAGAACAACCTTCAGAACACGGCCTAAGAGCCCGAAACACCCACAACAACCATGAAATTATTCTGTTGCAGGGTGAAAATCAGAATCTTGTGCCACCTCAGAGACTACACAGCTTTTGTGCACAATATCCCACCATTTATTTATCAGTTAAAATATTTCTGATCTCAAGAGCGTGGTACAAGCGATAAAAACAACTACAAAATACTTTTAAATAGCCAAGCTAGAAGGATCATCACTAGGTTTTGTCAGAACTGGCAAGTCCCTTAGTACTACTTGTAGTAAATATACATGCAAGTTAGCCAACATTAGCTTTTTCTTTTAATAGATCTTCAACACTCAGATTTTGCAAGAGAAAAATGCCTCATATTGTTATAATGCACAGCCAAAATGAACAAGTAAAGTTGATTTTTAATTTTTGTCCATTTTTTAAATAATGAACATACAATACAAACATATAAACCTAAAGGAAAAAACCAAATAACACAAAACATCAAAAACAACTATGCAAACATTTATTCCCCCCTACCAAGACCATTTGGAAATATAACAGTTTTTCTTCTTTCTATGGAGCCCCATTCCACTTGCAGAACTGTACTGACTCTTGAGAAGGTACACATTTCTTCCTCTTTAGTAATACAAAATCAGTAAAATCTCCCCAAATATTTGTAAAACTATTCTTATTTAAAATCTCTATTTTGATATTACACATTAATTTATCACTAATAGCTATATTCCAAAACTCTTTATACCATTCATTTAATTGAAAATGAGTTTATTTTCCAGTTCCTAGTTACCCTTAATCTTGCCGCTGTTTGTTCTTACAGTCCATATTTTCTCCTAACCCCAGGTACTTAATTCTTCTCCAAAATCATTTTCCCTTCATGTTTTAAGAGAATCTTGTTGATCCTCTGCTTCTAATAATATTTTATAAATAGTATTTATTATCCCTCTCATTACCTTATTTTCATCTGAACTTTATTTCTGTAATAACATTTCTTCAAATTTTGTAAGTTCCCTACATTTATCATTTTTGTTATCCAATCTTTTGTTCACTGCTCTAATTGGATAATATTGAACCAAGACATTCTTAATATATCCTTGATTTTTCTAACCAATCTTTTACCCTAACAACTTGTTTTTCTCTTAGTAAATTCTCCATATTTTGTTTCAAATTCCCTAGCAATTTCTCAAACTCTACCACTGGATATAGTGGAGAAATTGTTGGAATAAATATTTTTCTATACCTGTTCCAAATTAAAAACATATTTTTAAGAAAAGGATTTTGAGTATTATTTTTCACCATACTCCTATTACATTGGGTAAAAAGAGAATTCTCAGGGTCCAAATATAAGTCTTCTGATTCTATATCTAGCCATATTAATTGATTGGACTATATGAAAGAATATCCAAGTATGTCTTAATGCAGTGCTTCTCAACCTTGGGTAACCCAGGTGTTCTTTGGGTGCAACTCCCAGAAACCCTGACAAGCACAGCCGGTGGTGAAGGCTTCTGGGAACTGCCATCCAAAAACATCTGGGTTACCCAAGATTGAAAACACTTCTTAATTGATTAGCAATGAAATATAACCTTAAATTAATAAATTCCAACCCTTCTACTTTTTGAACTTTATACCATCTCTTATTATAATCCTTATCTTTACATTACAAAATTTATTAACCATATGTGTGTTTTGGAAAGTAACACTCCTTTTTCCATAAAACTGCAGTAGTATTTTGGAGTTATGTTATGAATGGAAAGACACTGTCACCCATCTCTAATAGTATAAATTCCTGGGGGGGGGAGGGGGAAGCAGCAAATACAAAAAGGAGTCCAGTACAATCTGAAATAGTAGTCAGTAGTATTACCTTTGACCAGGATTCCAGCAGAATTCTAGTTCTGCATTCTCCTCCGTATATATAGATGATAAAGGCAGCTGGGCCAAAATTCTTTCCTTCCCCTCTTGTTCTAAATTCTCTGTAAGAATGACAGTGATAGTGTCATCATCGTAGAAGCGGGCATCAAGACAACTGTAGACACTACAGTGAGAAACAGAGAAAGCAATTGGCATAAACAGCACCCCATTTGGAATGAGCAGAAAAGCATTAAATATTTTAAATTAACAGGTGGATAGATAAGAAGATGCCTGAAATCCAAGTGCTAGTCCCAACTATAGTATGCTTACTGAATTAACAGCTGAATTGTAAATCTACATACAGTGGTGCCTTGCATAGCTATCGCTCCGTATAGCGATGACATCGCTTTTTGATGGACTTTTTGCCATCGCAAAAGCGATCGCTTTGCGATGGTCCCTATGGGGGAAATTTGCTTTGTGATGATCGCAGGGAAGCGATCATCGCAAAGCCCCCATTTTCGGCCAGCTGATCGGCAGTTTCAAAATGGCCACCAGGTAAACAAAATGGCCACCCGCTGTTTTCAGGCATGGATTCCTCACCTTAGAGCAGGGATCAGGGAACTTTTTTACCTTTTACCCCCCCCCCAAAAAAATTATATACGCCGACATTACCCCCTTGATTTGAAAGGAAATCATACATTATTTGAATTTAAAATCTTATTGACTCTATTCAAAATTACTTTGAAAGCTTCAACTTGGTACTTGCAAACTTCAGATTTTGGAGAAATGATGTTGCTTCATCTTGGATATGAGAGCATCAATATTGGGGCTCTGCTCATCCTCATTACCCCCAGGATTTTCATTTTTACCCCATTTGGGGTAATTTACCCCTGTTCCCTGACCACTGCTTTAGAGGCACCGAAAATGGCGGCGCTATGGAGGATCTTCGCTTAAAGGTGAGTTTTTAGCCCATAGGAACGCATTAATCGCGTTTTAATGTATTTCTATGGGCTTTTTAATTTCGCTTAGCGATGTTATCGCTTAGCAGTGATTTTTTCTGCACGGATTAACATCGCTAAGCAAGGCACCACTGTATATGTAAATTCCACTGATTCAACAGGTCAACTTTAGTTGGGGTTCACAAATGAGTTTAGGCTAATATATGTTCATTCACCAAATCTTAAGGCTCTTAGATGCTTGCTGCATAGTGCTGAACAGGACCCACGGTGATGTTTCTCCAAATCCTTCTCAGATGCAAAAATTTAAATTTAACTCATCATCTTTGTAATGCTGGCATCTACTGGGATTATTTGAAATTACAGTACATCATAAAACAAGTAAAGTTTAAACCAACATCATATTAAGTTTCACAACAAGCCTCTTTCCACTGACTGTTTAAGAGATGCTTCATATTTAAGGTTACAGACACATAATAAATCAAGTTTTGAAAGCTAGCAATTCTATAGATACACTAACCTTGTATATGAAATTTCATTAATACTACTGTTCATAAAATTTCCAAAATCAATAGCAAGCAGTCCATTACTAGCAGACCTGGGGGAGATATAAATATAAGTATAGGTAGATGTACAGATATAATAGATCTAGATCCTTACAGATATTATAGAGTATCTGATAAACTGTAATCATGGGAAGAGACTGTATGACTTCACTTCTGCATAAATAAGCATATATTCTAATAGAGATAGAAATAACATATTTTGTTATGGTCACATAAATGTTACATCTCTGGCTTATCTTTACACCCATGAGGACCAAAACCATCCTTATCAGCTCTGAAGAGGAAATCATACAAGATTCTCACAGGGCTACATTTTAGAATATAGATTGGACCAAATGTATGTATATATTATTCAGGTTTTGGGAAGGATTTAAAATGCAGCAGCATGAGTGGGAGGAAAGGAGATGCTGACCTATCTACCCACTTTTCTCAAGCTGGTTCCCCCTCCCCAAATTTTTTTCTTTAAAATCTTGGAAAAAGCAGTTCCAGGCATATACACAAGTATTCAAGATCCTCTTCCTAGTATTCCTAATGCATATTAAATTGGCTCACCTCCAATTTGTAAGAAGTCAGCAGAACCCACAAAGAGATGATCCAGGCAAAGTTTTTGTTGTTTAGTCATTAAGTAGTATCCGACTCTTTGTGACCCCATGGACCTGAGCACACCAGGCCCTCCTGCCTTCCACTGCCACTGACTCCAATTCATATTGGTAGCTTCGATGACACTGTCCAACCATCTCATATTCAGTCGCCCCCCTTCCCTCTTGCCTTCACTCTTTCCCAACATCAGGGACTTTTCCAGGGAGTCTTCTCTTCTCATGAGATAGCCAAAGTATTGGAGCCTCAGCTCCTTCCAGTGAGCACTCAGGGTTGACTTCCTTCAGGATGCATAGTTTTGATCTCCTTCCAGTTCAGGGGACTCTCAAGAGTCTCCTCCAGCACCACAATCCAAAAACATCAATTCTTCGGCGGTCAGCCTTCTCACTTCCATACATTGCTACATGGTCCAGCTCTCACTTCCATACATTGCTACTGGAAAAACTATAGCTTTGACTATGCGGACCTTTGTCGGCAAGGTAATGTCTCTGCTTTTTAGGATGATGTCTAGGTTTGTCATTGCTTTACTCCCAAGAAGCAGGCGTCTTTTAATTTCGTGGCTCATATGATCATGGAGTGATCTGCAATGATCATGGAGCCCAGGAAAGTAAAATCTGTCACTGCCTCCACATCTTCACCTTCTACTTGCCAGGAGGTGATGGGACCAGTGGCCATGATCTTAGTTTTTATGATGTTGAGCTTTAGACCATTTTTGGCACTCCTCTCTTTCACCCTCATTAAGAATTTCTTTAGTTCCTCCTCACTTCCTACCATCAGAGTGGTATCATCTGCATATCTGAGGTTGTTGATATTTCTTCCGGCAATCTTAATTCCGACTTGGGTTTCTTCCAGTCCAGCCTTCCGCATGATGTATTCTGCATATAAATTAAATAAGCAGGGAGACAATATAGAGCCTTGTCGTACTCCTTTCCCAATGTTGAACCAATCAGTGTTTCCATATCCAGTTCTAACTGTTGCTTCCTGTGCCACATATAGGTTTCTCAGGAGGTAGATAAGGTGGTCAGGCACTCCCATTTCTTTAAGGACTTGCCATAGTTTGTTGTGGTCCACACAGTCAAAGGCTTTTGCGTAGTCAATGAAACATAAGTAGATATTTTTCTGGAACTCTCTGACTTTCTCCATAATCCAGCGCATGTTAGCAATTTGGTCTCTAGTTCCTCTGCCCCTTCGAAATCTAGCTTCTACTTCTGGGAGTTTTCGGTCCACATACTACTGAAGCCTACATTGGAGAATTTTGAGCATAACCTTGCTAGCATGTGAAATGAGTGCAATTGTATAATAGTTGGAACATTCTTTGGCACTACCCTTCTTTGGGATTGGGATGCAGACTGATCTTTTCCAACCCTCTGGCCACTGCTGAGCTTTCCAAAATTGCTGGCATATTGAGTATAGCACCTTAACAGCGTCATCTTTTAAGATTTTAAATAGTTCAACTGGAATGCCATCACCTCCACTGGCCTTGTTGTTAGACAAGCTTTCTAAGACGCACTTGACTTCACTCTCCTAGATGTCTGGCTCAAGGTCAGCAACCACACTATCTCGGTTGTCCAGGACATCCAGATCTTTCTGTTACAATTCCTCTGTGTATTCTTGCCACCTCTTCTTGATGTTTTCTGCTTCTGTTAGGTCCCTACCCTTTTTGTCCTTTATCATGTCCATCTTTGCACAAAAGGTTTCTTTAATATCTCCAATTAACTTGAACAGATCTCTGGTTTTTCCCTGTCTGTTGTTTTCCTCTATTTCTTTGCACTGTTCATTTAAGAAGGCCCTCTTGTCTCTCCTTGCTATTCTTTGGAAGTCTTCATTCAATTTTCTGTAACTTTCCCTATCTCCCTTGCATTTTGTTTCCCTTCTCTTCTCTGCTATTTGTAAAGCCTCATTGGACAGTCCCCTAGATTGAGAAGAACATCTTTCTTTGGTGTCAGTTCTAGAAGGTGTTGTAAGTCTTCACAAAATTGTTCAATTTCAGTCTCCTCAGCAGTGATGGTTGGTGCATAAACGTGGATTACTGTGATGTTGAAAGGTCTGTCTTGGATTTGTATTGAAATCATTCTATAATTTTTTAAGATTGTATCCCAGTACAGCTTTCCCCAATACTTTGTTGACCACATCCAGCTAACCAAGGTTCATAAATCTTACATTCCCAGTACAGGTGGGAGTTACACTAGTGCAATTAAAAACACATTTCAGTCTGCGGTTTCACAAACCACAGCAAACCCTGGATCCATGCACCCCTCTTCGTCCTCCTCTTCCACAGGTTTGGATGCGAACTAAGAAACCCTGCCAGGCCACCAGCCATTCTCTTTCAGGCTGAGTTACCCTGGCAAAGGTAAAGGCTCCTAAATCCTTCTTATTTTCCTTGGCTCTGCTTCTCATAACTGACAAACACACACATACAAGAATTTAAGCATTCACAGCAGTACTGTCTTACTTGGAAGTAACTCCTATCAAATGTAGTTGGGACTTAAGGTAAGGCTGCATTGAGTTCTGAACTCTGGCTGCATTCTCTGCCATCTTTCTAGACACTGCAGATTTGCTAATGGAATTAGCAAAACATGTGCAGTGCTTAAGAAAAAACAGTAAAACATGGGACAAAGCAGAACTTGCCATGGTCGAGTGGTGCCACTGGGGAAGGATTAAATGCCTTTCTCCACCTCTACTTTATACAAAATCAGTATGTAAAATCTGCATCATTTCATGAAATGTAGAGGTTACAGCTGAATGGTTCTTGGTGCAGAATTAACCTTTGTATTTAATGCACTGTTTACTTTTCTCATTGCTTCTGCTCAGCAGATAGCATTTTATGACCGATAAAGTATCTAATTGCTTAATAAAAATATGGCATTACTAAAACATAAATCTTATAAAAAGAAGCAGAATTGCAATATCACTGCTCTCAAAAGCACATGAAGTCTTCGAAGGAAAGGATAGATGTTTTCCACATTAAAACTATAAATCAAAGGAGTTATATTCTCTACTGAAAGCATAGTCACAAGATAATAAAATGCAATAGGAACTAGTATGTAATGAAACGGGGGAAAACTATTCCTATAGAACCAATTTATCCACAAAGTGCACATGTTGAGGGTCATGTAGAAATAGATAATTTCTTTTTTTTTCTTTCTCTGTAATAACAAGGTACTAGGTACATGCAGCCAAAGAATGAGCTTGCTAATTCAAATTAATGTGATATTTGCAACATACCACACCCACTCTTCTGGGCAATCTTCCACTTTCATGCCCTAATATGGAGCTCTTGACTCTTACATCCTCCTCTTTCCAATAGCAAGCAGCTCATTCCCTCTGTTTTTGGCCTCATTATATTTTCCTGTGTGTTACTTAACTTTCCTTACAGAAGCTGCACTATCATGTAGCAACTGAACTTTCCTCTTCATAAATTAAAATGTTTGTGAATAAGTAGCAGTTTTGGACCGCTTAAAATTAGTCAACTGCGCACTTGGCTAATGCTATAGAGAAGGTCACTTTGCAACAACAGAAATAAATCCAAACACATGGTGGCACCTTTGAGACAAATACGGTTGCTTCATTATGAGCTTTTGTACACTTCAGATACATCATTTGCAGAAGCATGCCCTTTTTTTCAAAAGAAGCAAAGAGTGAAATATACCATTAATGCCATCATACCTTGAAATGTCCGTATGCCTTCTCAATATATAAATACTGGAAACATTGTTTCTTCTCATTGTGAACAAAACATAGTGCAAATTGGATGATTTATCATTCCACCTGCAATGACAGCAAGAATATTTTCAGTGGATAATCAATACTTGGTGAATAAAATGTAGGCAAACGGTGTACTTACAAAAAAGGCAGTTTGAACAGTTGAGAAGTCAAGTCCTCACTGATGAGGAAAAGAAAAAAGTCAGAATAAATAAACCCTGGAATAATAAATATAAATCCTATATACTAACAGGAAGCCCATCCTGTGTGGATGGATCCTTATGTAGTTAAAACACAATACGATCCATGAGAGAGGCATTAGCAAGCTTGGGGAAACAAAAGCATTTAGGAAAGAAAAATCTAAGAAGGACAAGGAAGAACCACAAGGAACCCACTAAGGACTATGCCTGCTCAGAATGCTGACCCGGAGGGTGGGGGGGTGGTGGAATGGAAACTGAGGGGAGCACAGAACGGAGTATCCTGGAAGAAAACACAACTGACTGGCTGAAATACTGCCAAACTGCAGTGCTGCATGTTTGCACACAGTCCCTTTGTAAAAGTCCATTCTTTATTAGAAAAACCTTACCTTGTTGAAGCTTTGTATAAAGGCATACAGAATGCTTGATGCACGGATTTACCAATCACATCCTAGAAAGGAAAGAGAAAAGACATACATAGAAGAGAGAATTATTCAAGCAGCACAAAGACTAATATGTCTGTGACCGTCAATATAATATTTGGGAGCAGTGTACACTTATTGTGCTAGCCTTCAAAAATAAAGTAAAGATTAGAGATGGGCACGACTTCAGTCATGCCTCTTTGTATGAAGTAACCTGCACAGCCCCACAGGTGCCGTGTGCATCCTACCCCCGCCTCCTGGGGCTGCCTGGGCCACTCACCCTCCATCATTCACTGCTGGGGTTCTTCTTCTCTGATGGTGCCCCAATCTGGGCAGGAGCTCGGGCTGCCCATTGCCACATAAACAATGGCTGAAATCCTGTTGGTTTATTACACATGCTGAGCCAGAGAATCCTAGTGGCAGCTCATTAACTGCCAACTGTAATGTTACATCGTTTGCCTTCCACATGTGTAACAAGTAACAAGATTTTAAGCCTGTGTGCACCAAGATGGTCCAAGAGAAAAAAGGAAAATTTTGCATTTATGCTGTACAGTGCTTTGGAGCAGAAAATGTAAATGACTTATTGGTGAAACATTATAAAGGTTCTTGTAATCTTGAAAATGTAAGAAATGCTAACTCTAACAAGTTACAGAGCAGGGCCCGCAAGCACAACAAATTATAGTTTAAGCAAACTCCTAGGCTCTTCAATGTCAAAGGCTCAACTTCTATTTTATCTGCATAAAAGCACCGATACCTTAAGCTGAAATCCACCTACTTCAATTTGGGATCAGAATAAAATGCAAGATTTTTTAGCTGAGGATGACTGTGGTACTAATACCTATCCTAGTCTCAACCATTGAATTTTAAATATTTTTATGGGAGTGGTGTAGCCTACTTTACAAGCTTGGCACACTAGTTTTGTGTGTCAACCTTGGGGATCTTTGTTTTACATTAGGGTCCCTAGAACACACCTGGTTAAGCAGACTGGAAGGTTGGTGAGGCGTGAAACATTCTCGGTCAAGACTCATAGCTTCTCCCCATGTCTGCTCACCCTGAGTTCTCCCATCTTAGGTTCAGCAGAAGACACGTGGCTGACTGACTACAGAAAGAGGTTTTGACAAGGGAACTGTGGTATGTTTCACATGTTCTATGACATGCAGTATGCTCTTGAAATACTAGCGAGAAAGGACCATATACTGAGACCAGATATAGTCCATGAAGGCTGTATGCTGGGCAGTGGAGCCAGAAGCTTCTCCTGATGGAGGTAAGAGGCAACTCACCCTGCTTTTGGCGGGTCAAGCTGCTGCTGGTGACTTATAGGGTACATATATAAGGGCTGTCACCTTCGTGTACTGGTTTATCCTATAACTGTCTATTTTCTCCTTTTTTCTACTGGTTCCCCTCCTCATGCACTTGAGTTCTTGGGACTTAACGAAATTCTAGCTCCATCCTCTGTCTGGCCATTTTCCCAGGACTTCCTAATTTCTAGCCAACTGGGTTTTTGCCTGTTTTTTTAAACAAAACATATAGTTGTGAGAGTAACTAACTCTTCACCCCATCTGAAGCTCTTACATGGAGAGGACATGCAGCTTTACTTGTTCCTTCACAGCATTCCAAACAGATATGGAGAGATCTTTGAAGTATAAACAGAATCATAGAGATGCAAGGGGCCTATAAGACCAAATAATCACACACACACCCGGTCAATGCAGGCATCCAACTCAAAGTATGTCTAACGTTGTCTAATTTTTCTTGAATGCCTCAAAGTTTTGGAACATTCATTAACTCCCAAAGTAATTGGTTCCATTGTTGCACTGCACTAACAGTTAATTTTCCCCCCCTGATAATCAACTGAAATCTGGCTTCCTGTAACTCAAGCCCATTGTTAGGTGTCCTGCATTCTGGGATGACTGAGAAGAGATCCTGCTCCTCCTCTGTATGACAGTCTTTCAAGTGTTTGAAAAGTGTTATCACATCTCCCCCCAGTCTTCTTTTTACAAGGCTAAACATGCCCAGTTCTTTCTGTCTTTCCTCATAGGGCTTGGTTTCCAAAAGACCAAGCTTAAATGAAGCTCCAGTTGCTCAATGGGACTCCAGGAATCCCAGTGACCAAAATTATTTCTTTTGCTTCTGTCTGTGCACACAATGCTTTATTTGACAAAGTATTGTCTAATTAACTTTTCACTCTGAGAGGCTGTAAAAACTGTGCCACGAAGAGGAAAAGTCTACAAGCTCTCATTCAAAATACAGAATGTTCCATGGAAGCTACAGCTTCTTCTCTAAGCTGTGTAACAGAACAACAGTTCCATTAAGAAGATATGTGCAGAACCTGTGACCTTCCAGGTCCTTTCGATTTCACTCGCAGGAATGCCAGCCAGCTTGTCAATGGTAAAAGATTATGTCAGTTGTCGCTCAAAACATCTGGAAAGCCAAG